AGTCCCTAATCGCTGATTTCCCAGTGCAATGTTTCTCCTTATTTCCTGACTACACGTACCAAGGGTGTTAATTGTGGATCCAAACGAGATGAAGCTGTTGACAGTTTCAATCTCCTCTCCATCCATCATGATGTTGCGTATCAGTCCAGTGGTAAGAATCTTTGTTTTCTTGATATTGAGATGCAATCCCTACTGAAGGTTGCATTCCTTGATCTTCTGCAAGGACTTGTGCTTCAAGTCCTCCTCACTTGCAAGTCCTCCACAGCAAGCAAGGTTGTGCCATCTGCATTACACAGGTTATTAATGAATCTCCCTCTAATCCTGATGCCACATTCCTCTTTATAGAGTCCAGCTTCTTGGATAATTTGCTCAACATGTAGATTGAACAGATTTGGAACCTTGATGCACTCCCTGCCCAATTTCAAGGCATGTAGTGCTCCCCTGCTCCGTTCACACAACAGCCTCCTGATCCAGGGAGAGGTTCCACGTGAGCACAGTCAAGTGCTCTGAGATTCCCACTCTTTTCAATGTCAGCCACAACTTGTCATGATTCACAGTCAAATGTCTTTGCATAGCCAATAAAGCACAAATTGCCATTCTTCTGGTATTCTTTCCTTTCAGCCAGGATCCATCTGACATCAGTAATGATATACCTGGTGCCATGGCCTCTTCTAATTCCTGCTTGGCCTTCTGGCAGTTCCTTATCTATGTACTGTTCCAACCATTTTTTAAATGATCTTCAGCAGTATTTTGCTTGCATGCAATATCAATGATATTGTTTGATAATTTCCACACTCAGTTAGATCCCCTTTCTTGGAAATGGGAGCAAATATGGACCTCTTCCAATCTGTTGGCAGGATAGTCATCCTCCAAATTTCCTGGCATAGATTGGTGAGCGCATACAAGGCTTGCATGTAGATTATTTTTAGGAATGAATTTATTATGGTTGATATTCTGTATACTTGGACCTGCAGTTTTGTGTCTGTCCCTAGTTTCGGGAAATTTTCAGTCACTATTAGTTTAACTATTTCCTATGCTTGTTCCTCTTCTGGTAGTTCAACTACACACATGATACCTTTTGTAATTATTCTGTAATTTTTGGATATTTCATTCCATTCTTCTTCCCCCTGTCACTTTTTTTTTTTTTTAGTTTCTCTAGTTTGGGTTGTTTCTATTGGTATTTCTTGAAGCTCGCAGATTCCTAGATAATTTTTAGTCTCCTAATGAGTCTATCAATGGTATTCTCCATTTTTGTTTCAATGCTTTGATTTCTAAGTATGTTTTCTAAGATCTTAGAACTTCTATTATTTTTTACAATATTAATCTTTTCTGTATGTTGTTCATTTTCCTCATTAAAGTTCTTAGACTTTTAATTATAATTACTTTAAGTTCCCAAAGTGATCATTCTAAATCTGCCATATTTGGGTCTCATCCCAATGTTTGCATTGCCTCTTCAGATTGTGTATTTTTTAAACATTTTACTTTATACCGGTTTGCATACAAAAGTAATATACAGCATGTTTTGTTTATATACATTGTGTTTCATACATTTCTTTATTCAACTGTGTTTCACATGATCAGATTGTGTGTTTTTGTTTTCCTTTTAGTATGCCTTGTAATTTTTTGTTGAAAGCCAGACTTCTGTATCAGGTAAAAGGACATAAACAATCCTCACTTGTTTTTCTCTTTTATGCTTATTTAGCTAGGAGTTAGTTTGTGTTTACTTTTGCTTTAGCTGTGAGTACCAAAGGTAAAAATTTCCTGTGTCCTTATCTACCCTATTGTCTTAGAGCTTTGTAGGGGACTTATTCTATAATCATATCTGAATCTTAGAGTTCTTCTTACTCTATTCTCCTGTAACTATCCCCTTTCATTTAGTGGTAATGTGTGAAGGGGACAAAAAACCTTTGGGCATGTTGCCAGGAGGGACGGGTCCTTGGAGAGGGACATCATGCTTGGGCGGGTGGAGGGACAACGCAGGAGGGGAAGACCCTCTATTAGATGAATTGATTCGGTGACTGGGATAATCGGGATGGATGTGTCAGAGGCAGTGCGATTGCGATTGGCACAGGATAGAGCAGGGTTTAGGGCTGTTGTGCATAGGGTCGCTATGAGTCACAAACGACTCGACGGCACATAACAACAACAACAACAACAACAACAACAATCTATGGTTAACCCACGGCTATTGAGTTTATTTCTACCCATGACAATTGTTCATCAGGTTTCTGGGATTGTAATTCTTAATGAAAGCTGAGTTTTCCCCTCATCTTCCTCCTGTGGAGTGGTTAGTGAACTTGACCTGCATTTCTGACCTTTCATCTACAAGCTCATGGCTACACCAGCCAGTGTTCCTTCGTGCCACCATCTCTGGGGAGCTGCACTGCTAATCCACAGGGGGTGCCTCTCTGCCAGTTCAAACGCTGTGATTGTTATGTACTGTCGAGTTCAATTAGCATGTCTTAATTGTTGTTGCACAACAGCCCTAAACCCTGCTCCATCCTGTGCCAACCGCACCGCCTCTGACACACCCATCCTGATTACCCCAGTCACCGAATCAATCCATCTCATAGAGGGTCTTCCCCTCCTCCGCTGTCCCTCCACCCTCCCAAGCATGATGTCCCTCTCCAAGGGCCCGTCCCTCCTGGCAACATGTCCAAAGTATGTCAGACGAAGTCCCAGAATCCTTGCCTCCAAGGAGTAGCTTGGTTTAATCCTCTCCAAGATGAATCTGTTTGTTTTCCTGGCAGTCCATGGTACATTCAGTACCCTTCTCCAGCACCACAGCTCAAAAGCATCCACTCTCCTTCTGTCCTCCCTAGTCATTGTCCAACTCTCTGATGCATAACAAGCGATTGCAAATACCATGGCCTGTATCAGGCGCACCTTAGTCTCTAGAGAGACACTGTTGCTCCTGAGTACCTTAGAGAGGTCCCTAACAGCAGACTTTCCCATCGCGATACGCTTTTTGTGATACTAAATTTTCTTTGGAAATATTTTCCCTGTGGTTAGATTATTTTCTCTGTAAAATAACCCCTGAAAAAAGAAGATTCACATATTCAACTTGTTCCAAAGATACTAAAAAGTTTCCTGATAACTGAATTTTTGTTAAAATTAAATTCATACTTGTTGCAGCAAATGTTTATGAGTCACAGGCTACTGTATGGGACAACACACTCCAGTTTGCTATATTACCTTGGATGAAACTATGACTGTTTCTGTGTTTCACTCTCTTCCTCCCTCAGGTAGGAATGAAAACAATTCTTACTTCAAAGGGTGAGGATCAAGTGCTACTATGTGGAAAGTACTCCATACCTTTCCTGTCAGCGATTACAAGCTGGAGTGAAGTTCAACACAAAACCAGGTCCTGGGGTCGAGAAAGTCTATAGTGGCACCTTGCCAACTTATAAAAGTACAGGCCACACCCCTTAAAGAGATTACAACTGCTGGCCCTTTTTCTTGGGTCAAGGGTATAGATAGAGTGACTCAGCAGCTAAAGTCAAGGTCCAGGGTTCAGAGAGAGAAAAAGAGAGAGAGAGAAAAAAAAAACAACACAAAAAACAACTGCTGCTGTCCTCCTCACTCTTCTTTTTTAAAGGACAGAGACAAACAAAGGTTTGAAAGTCAGAACCAGCCCAAGACTTACAAATGTGAAGACATTTTATGCATATATTCCTCAAATATAGACTTGGATTAACCCCTGGCATAGCCCATAGGAAATTACACTGCTAAATCAAAGGGCTTCCCTCTCTGAAGGTGTGAATCCACCAGCAACTCCTCAGAATAAAGAGAGACAATCTATTCTCATTCAGAAACTCAACTGGAATTCAGCTATGAATCAGTTCTGACTTAGTGACAATGAGTGTTGAGTTGAGAGGGCCGGGTGTGTGTGTGGTGGGGGGCGGGGGGTGCATGGTCACAGGAATGAGGGCGTGAGATCCAAGTCCAGTGGAAAGTCAAGCCAAATGGACCTGACCCTAAACTTCTGGAGTTCAGACACAGACAGGAAGAGTGGGAGAGACACACAGAGATGGTGAGAAAACATGAGAGATCAGGCCCTGCGCTTCAAAGACAGAACGAGAGGTAGGAAGGGAATTGTTCAATGCTGGCCTGCGTGATCAAACCCACCGAGAAACCCATATAGCCCACCAAGTCTTGCTCTACCCGACCTCTCCCTTTCTTTGTCTCTCTAGGTCCTCTCACCCCTCCCTAGGTTTCTCATATCACTCTATCTGTGGCTGTCAGAGGGAAGATGGAAAGATAGACCACAAGCATATGTAGGTCATACAAAAACAGGATCCAGGAGACGCAAGTGTGTGTGTGCATGCATACACACGCAGGGGCACACACAGACAATACAAGCCCATGCAGATTCATGCACACGCCCATGCACCACCACAGAAATACAAATAGGCATTCCCATAGAATGGAGGCACATACAAGCATATGCGCAGATGCAAGCAGGTTCATGGTCATGTTCCGGAAGCCACACTACCACCACCATCCAAATGCAAGCACACGGTTCCATCTAAAATCATAGAAATAGATATGAATCCACAGACATGCAAGAGCATTTTCACATATGCATAAATACCAATAAACATTCACATGTGAAAATCATAAAAGCACACTCACAGATGCAGATAAGCTTAGAAACGTGCATTCAGAGGTAAATACACAAAGGAAAACACAAGTGCTTCATGCTAACCCATCCAGGAATCAAAACAGGTGCATGCACTTTTTAATGTGGACCTTGGTATTTCTGTCACAGCTCTCCTGCCAGAACGTAGGGAGGGAGCAAAGGAGGTGGGAGGAGAGGTCATCAGGCTGTCCAAGCAGGAAGTATGGATCTTCCAGCACCTCTTCTAGATTGACACTCCCGGATAATGGTGTAAAGGGAGGCGGGACTTGATGGCGTTACATAACTGGGTAGAAAGACAAGGCCAGATAAAAGGCTCAGCTTGAGATTGCAGTGGGTGGAAGACACTCAAACTAGAGCCATGGAGCTCAGTGTTCTTCTCCTTCTTGCTCTCTTCACAGGTCTCTTACTTCTTTTGACCAGAGGACATCCAAAGGATTATGGGCGCCTCCCACCAGGTCCTCGGCCTCTTCCTCTCTTTGGGAACCTTCTACAGATGAACAGAAAAGGTCTACTTAAATCCTTCCTCAGGGTGAGCCCCACATGGACAGAATCGGAGGGTGGCTAGCCGTGCCTCAGCATTGGTGTATCACTCAAGGATTCCCAAGAAATAATTGGGTATCTTTAAGGTTCCAGGGTGGAATGTGTGAAAGTTAGTCTAGGTCAGGTTAATGGAGCTAAGGGCTGGTGGATTGTGGTCGAAACATCAGAAGATCTTATTGCTTGATTGAAAGTGTATAGACATTGTTGTTGGTGCAGGAAAATGGTCAGGAAGAGTCACTCCTCCTTGGCTCCCTCGCAGAGAGAAAAAAGAGAATGAGAGACCAAAATGTAGCCTTCAATTAGTGTCAGGACAACAAGGAAGAGGAAGGGAGAGCAGAAAGGAAGGGTAAGGTCTTCAGGGAGGGTGGGAGTGAATGCCTATCGTGTAGAGGATTTCATTGAGCTAGCAATGAGCACTTCCTTCACATGATTTCATTTTAATAATGCATTTATTTATTAATAACATCATTAACATCTCTGAACCAATCCACCCCATGAGAGAACTATAGCATCATCTGTCAGTTCAATAACCTTGTATTGTGTCCCTTTCCATTTCAACAACCACTTCTCTGAATCTTTAGCTTCTCATCTCTTTGTGTAGTTTTAAAAAAATTACTATTCTTTTAAGTTTTTATTTGATATATTTTCTTCAGTGAAGCCTAGCCTTTTCTTTCTTGGAATACTTTTTGTTTGTTTGTTTGTTTAATTTTTTTACTGGTTTACATACAGTACTTTTGATTATTGTTTCCATTTCTTCCATATTAAGACCTTCCATTTTCTCTTGAGCTAATTTGTATGTTTCCATGAGTTTGTTCATTTCATCTACATTTTTCTAATTTGTTTTCTCTTAGTAAGTCTTTGTATTTGTGTAGGACCAGCAGTGGTGTTCCCACATCCACTTATGATTCTAGTCTTTTTATGTTTTCTCTCTCTTCTCTTTTGTCAGTCTAAAGTTTTGTGAATTTCATTTACCTTTTCAGAAAACCAACTTTTGATTCATCCATGTTGTTGTTTCTAGTAATAGTTTGTTCTTTTTCTTTGCTGAGTGAATAGATCACTATGGACTGATATATATGGTTTTGAGAGTTATAGTAGTGCGGTTTCTGTGACTATGCTTGTTCATTTGTGTATGTGTGTATGATTACATGCACACATTTCCTTTACATCTATACATCCGTACATATTGGTATGAAATCATATACATCTATACATCTAGGAATGAAGTCACTGGATCATTGAGTCTGGTATCTGTTCAGCTTTAGAAAATATAATCATTCAGGTTCCCAGCAGGTAGTACTAATGACTCTTTTTTTTTAAGTTCATGATTACCACCAGAGTGTTGCCACTTTCCGTAATTGTCTACAAAGTAGATGCTTCAAGTCTTTTTATTGTTGTATAAGTTGTGGTTTCTGGGCAGATGTGGTCATATTCAAGGGCCTGGGGAGAAGAGATATCAGAATTACTTGTAGAAAAATCTGTATTGCTTCTGATATCAACCAATCACAGTAAACCTTGGCTGGGCTATGGAGTAACTCATTCTTGCTGGTTCCTGGGGAAGTCTTGTGGGCCCAGAGGACTGAGCAGCACAGTTTAGGGAGGAGAATCATGGTGCAATGGCTATATGTACATAAATGAGTAAGGAGTTGCACTGGCAACTCAAAGGTAAGTGGTTCAAATTCCACAGCTGCTCCTCAGAAGAAAGCTGGGCAATCTCCTCCAGTGCCATTTATAGCCTCTGAAAACACCATGGAGGGTCAACTTTGAGTTGATTTCAACTCTATGAGAGTGAAGGTTTCTTTCTTTTTTTAAAAAAATTTTATTTTATTACTTTTGTGTGAGTGTACTGTCAAATCAGATCTGACTGGTACAGGAGGAGATTGTCCCTCCTTCCCCGGCAGAGCATCTGGTGGATTCGAACTGTGCGCCTCTGGGATTGTAGTTGCAGCTCCTTACCACTAGGCCACCAGAGCTCCCCTTGAAGGTTTCTTTTTTTTTTTTTTGAAGGTTTCTTAATATGTCTTGTTTAGGGATACCTGGATCCCTGGATGGTGCAAAGGGTCAACACTTTGTTTAATAAGCAAAAGACTGAAGTTTTAACTCCACTTAGAGGAGCCATGGAAACCAGCTCTGGCAATGTACTGCTGAGAAATCAGCTACTGAAAACCCGATAGAAAACAGTTCTACTCTGATACATGTGGGGTGATTGGGAATCAGAATTGACTCCGTGACAACTTTTCTTATGGTCTTTGAGGTGTAACCTGACTAGTTAGAAACCCTGGGTTTGGGTTTGTTTGGCAGCTCCGAGACAAATATGGCGATGTGTTCACTGTGTACCTGGGACCGAGGCCTGTAGTCATGCTGTGTGGGACAGAGGCCATACGAGAGGCCCTGGTGGACCAAGCTGAGACCTTCTCTGGCCGGGGGAAAATTTCAGTTGTTGAGTCAACCTTCCAGGGATACGGTGAGAGCCTCAAAAGCACTGAGGGGCAGGGTGGAGGATGGGATCTGAGATGAACGAATCTGGGAAGGGAAGATAAGGTGCTAAGTGTCTCTTTCCAACCTCCTTTGAAACTCATGCCTCTCCTGTATTCTCTCTCAGGTGTTGTCTTTGCCAATGGGGAACGATGGAAGGCCCTTCGCAGGTTCTCTCTTGCTACCATGAGGGACTTTGGGATGGGCAAGCGGAGTGTGGAGGAGCGAATCCAGGAAGAGGCTCAGTGTTTGGTGGAGGAGCTGCGGAAAGCTGAGGGTGAGTAGCTGAAAGAAAGACGCTAGGAAAGAAAGTGAAGCAGAGAGAGCTTAACAATAGAAAGACAGAGATGTGTATGTGAGCAAATAAAAAGAGGCAGAGATAAGGGAGCTCTGGTGGCCTAGTGGCAAGCGGCTGCACTGCAATCCCAGAGGTATGCAATTCGAATCCACCAGGTGCTGTGCTGGAGAAGGAGGGACAATCTCCTCCTGTACTAGTCAGATCCAACTTGACCACACACACACACACACACACACACACGAGGATGGAGATCAAGAAACTATCAGAGAGACAGAGAGCTGAGGGGTACAGGCAGAAATGAGTCAACAAGAAACACAAAGGTGGAATCTATAAGAGGTCAAATAATAACTCCAAGATGTGCATGATCTAGTGTTCAACATATATAATATAGTTAAAGGAAACAGCATATGGATTAACATAACACTATACATTATTAGTTTCTTCTTATAACTGTTCCTCCTCCTTTGTGTTTCCAAATTTGAGGGCTCAACCTCAGTTGCCATATATGTTAGTCTACTCTAAGTGTGCTTTACTGTACACAGGGTTTTTGAAGGCCTGTTATATTTCAGAAGTGAATGGCCAATCCTTCTTCCTAGTCTGTCTTATTTTGGATTCTTAATTTTAGAACAATATCTGACAGACAAGCATTTTGTCAAGCAGATGAAACACTTCCCTTTTGGAAAAAAACAATACATTCACCGTCCCTGCACCCAAGCGCATGTGTCTTGTCTCTTCCCTTTCCCTGCCACACTGGCATTCCTTGCACTCCCGCCTACCTGTCCCAGCCCTCCCTTCCCCAGCCACCGCTTGATATTATAGCTTAGTCCACAAGTCACTTCTGTGATGTCTTACACCACACACTGCTGGTCTCTCACACTGTTGCCTGTCTCGTGTTTAGGAGGATGCAAGTCCAGATCCCAAGAACCAGCTTCAGTGAAAGATTTTTGCCAGAGGCAGTACTGAGGAAAGGTCCTTGCCACAAGTTTTGTTACTCATTGTCTCTGTTTACACTGCTGTCGCAATGCAGTTATTTTCAAGGTCTGGATAGGTCTCTTTTATATGCAGAAAAGATCATTGGGGAAGCAGGGCTTTATGAGGAAGAATGTGGCATCAGGATTGGAGGTAGACTCATTATGCACATGATACAACCCTGCTTGCTGAAACTGAGGACCTGAAGTGCTTGCTGCAGAATGCCAAGGACTGTAGTCTTCAATATGGATTGAAGCTCAACATCAAGAAGACAAAAGATTCTCACCACTCGGCCAATTGGCAGCACCATGACAGATGGAGAAGTGATTGAGGTTGTAAACAACTACAGCTTTCTTGGCTCTGCAATTAACATGTTTAGTACGAGCATTCAGGAAATCAGAAGATGAATTGCATTGGGAAAATCTGCTGTCAGGGACCTCTCCAGAGTGCTGAAAAACAACAGTGTCAGTCTAGAGACTAAGGTGCACCTAATCAAGGCCATGATCTTCACAATTACTCGCTATGCATCAGAGAGCAGGACAATGATTAAGGATGACTGAAGAAGAATTTGAGTTTGCCTTTGAGTTGTGGTGCTGAAGAAGAGTCTTGAACATAACATGGACTGCCAAGAAAACAAATAGGTCTGTCTTGGAGAGAGTGAAACCAAATTTCTCCTTGGAGGCTAGGATTTGAAGCTCTGTCTCACATACTTTGGTCACTTGGCCAGGAGAGACTGGTCCTTGGGGAAGGACATCATGCTCAGAAGGGGCAGGGACAGCACAGGAGAGGAAAACCCCAGATGAGATGGATTGATATAGTAACTAGGGCGGTGGGGGTAGGTGTGTCAGAATTAGTGAGACTGGCTCAGGACAAGGCAGGGTTCAGAGCTGCTGTACGTAGGGTCACTATGGGTGGCAGATAACTCGACGGCACATAAGAACAACAGCAACAACAACAAAAGCAATACTACATTATAATATATGCTTCTTGGTGTTTTTAATTGATTTTGATTCATAGCAATCTCATATGACAAGGGCAGACCTGCCTCATAAGCTGTTCTCGGCTATAATTTTGATGTAGCAGATTATCAGGTCTTTTTATCATGTAACGATTGTGTAAGTCCAATTGCTAACCTTTCAGTTGAAGCCAATCTTAATAATTTTTACCATCAAGGTATCATATACTATGATATGGTAAGATATAGTATAATTTTATATTTATATAAAAGAAAGCAAAGAGAGAAGGACAACCCACAAACTTACTAGAAATAATCAACTGTTTTCCTCTAGTTGGCTGAGCCACTGGTGAACTGCCAATGATCAGAAGCCATTCAGGATCATTGTCTCACATACTTTAGACATGTTGTTGGGAGGGGCCGGTTCTTGGAAAAAGGCACTGTGCTTGGAATGGTGGAAGGTCAGCATCTCAGAGGAAGACCTCCAAGGAGATGGACTGACATGGTTTCTGTAACAACAGGCTCAAGTATTTCAGAGATGATGACGGCACAGATAGGGCAGGGTTCAAATTCACTGTTCATAAAGTTGCTGAGCTGTAGTCAACTTGATGGCAATTAGCAACAATGACAGTACTTTTTGATCTGTATAGGTGAACATCTCTATATCATTTATTTCAGGTCTTTGCCATTTTCCTCAATGAAATCTCTCCAGAGTTTGTAAAGTATTAGTGTAGAAATAGATAGAAGATGTAGAGACAGGTGGAAATAGAGAATTAGAGGCAGAGAGATGGAGATGAAAAGACATGTATGGAAACAGTAAAGATGGAAGAGTAAGAAATAGAGAGAGATAAATAAATGGTTAAAGATGCTCAGAAAAAGGGAGACAAAGAGATTGAAACAGAAAATTAGAGCACATATTAGATGTATATTTAATTTTTTGAGGAATAGTAAAAAATAATTCTGAAAAAAAATAGTTTTGAGGATCTGCTAAACGGCTTTCCATAGCAGCTGTAACTATCCTACCAGCAACTAGATGAGTGGCCGCATTTCTTCACATCCTCACCAACACTTTTCCCCCCTCCCTCCCCCAACCCTAAATTTATATAGATCATAGTCATCCTAACAGAAATAACATCATTGGACAATGCTTATACAATCCCACTTATATGAAATATCTAGAATAGACAAGTGCATAGAGGCCAAAGTTTATCAGTGATCACCCCGGGCGGGTAAAAGGGAGGGAGAAAGGAGAACTCAAAGCTTGGAGTTCTGAACTTCTAGATGCTGAACTTCTATTAAGCAAAGTGGGAAAATGTGGTAACAGACATGTGAGATGGTTGACTATCATGAATGCAAGCTAAATTACCAAACTGTATGCGTGAAGAATGTATACTGAATATTTAACAAGTCTTTTAACCATTTTTCCGTTTTGCATAATACTTCATTATGTGAATGTGCAAAAGATGTAGTCTTTACCAGAGTAGATGGTCACATTATTCTCCTGCACTATGGCTGGCCCATGGGCTTAAACCGCTGATTTTTGGGACAACAGTCAAGTTCTTAACTACTGCTTCACCGAGGATCCCTTCTTAGTGTTGAGATATGTTGAAGTCCATGAGTTTAGAACGAGATTTTAAACAACATAGTTACCACTGGAAGATTACAATAAACCAATACATTATTTTGAAATGAAATTGAAAGTGGGGGTAAAGAATCTTGAAGTGGCAAATGTTTTGTTTCTACAATAGAAAAATATTATATGGACAGACAAAAAAAGGCTCAGGGAGAAAGATGGCATAAATAATGTATACTGCATTGAAACAGATGAGGGAGAAAACTGTTTAAAAGGGATATGTGATTAGGTATTATTGTCATGACAGGAGTCCAGAATGAAGGCTGCATAGTGGAGTGGACTTGGGGGGAGAGATTGTATAACAATGAAAGAATTTTCCCTTTTCTTTCAAAGAGAAGAGAGAATTGGAAGGAGGGAGGGGTGGGCAGGGAGAAAAGTGCAACAATGAATGAATGGAAATCCTCAGTCTCTATAAACTTTCATTAAAATTAATAATAATTTTTTTTTAAAAGGCTCAGGGAAAAGTCTACAGAGAGGAATGATGTGAGATGCAGAGAGACTGAGGCTGCACCCATTGGAAGTTCTTGGACTCCCAGCCCAGCCCCATTCCCCTTCAACAAGGACCATGCAGAACCTGCCTAATAAAGACATCAACAGATTAGTGAAGACCAGTGTACCCTAAAGGTGGAAAGAGGAGATGAATGTAGCTAGGACAGAGAGATCAGGAGGTTTTTATTTCCACAAACAGTTGCTAGAATATCTACCTTGTATTTCCCACTGTTGCTAGGACTTGGCTTGTTCAGGGTTGGGGACAGATTCACAAAGCCGAGTTCTCTAAAGAGAGATTCAGGGTAAAGACCAAAAGCAAGGATTCTGTTGCCAGGCTGTCTAGGTGCAAATTCTGGCAGCAACAATTGATAATTGTGAAATAGTTTCTCAAATTACTTTTCTGCCTATCCGTGTATAAAAAGCAGAATAATAGAATTGATAGAACTGAGACCTTACCACAGGGTTGTGGTGAGAATTAAATCAAGTAGTAGATGAAAGGAACTCTGTTGAAAAAGTCTGTAGGGAGTTGTTTTGTTAACCCAAGAGACCACCAGCAGCTCCACAGGAGAAAGTGGGGCAATAACCTCCTGTATGATTTACAGCCTCTTGGAAACACACTGGAGCATCATCTATGAGTTGGTTCCAAAGGAAATGAGTTTACTTGAATTGAATTGAATTGAATAGATGAAGTGCCTAGAATAGAGCTTAGTGCATAGAAAAAGCTAGTAGTAAATGGTAGATGCTGTCATTGTTAGCCTTCTTCAACAGTGGAGGACTGTTCACAGAGATGGGGCAACAGGCAAATGCCCACCCTTGAGTCTTGAATTCCTGTCCTCTGACCTGCCCTATTCTCCTCCTAGGAGCTCTAGTGGATCCTACTTTCTACTTCCATGCCATCACTGCCAACATCATCTGCTCCATTGTCTTTGGAGAACGCTTTGCCTACAATGATCCTGAGTTCCTGAGGCTGCTGGATCTTTTCTACCAATCCTTCGCACTGATAAGCTCCTTCCCCAGCCAGGTCAGACAGCAAAGAGGAAGGGTGAAAACAGAGCGAATGTCTAGAGCAAGAAAAGAAATGAGCTGCTTTTTGGTGCCCAGAAATGCAATGAAGGGCTTGGAGAAGGGCTGAGATGATAAAGAGATAGAGAGTTGGGGCCATAGAGGGAGGGGAGAGGCTGTAAAACAGGGTATGACTAAGGAAAAGCAGGGGTGTGATGAAGGAAATTGCAATGGAGAGAAGTAGAATCAATGAGGAAAAAAATCTGTTGTCATGGAGTTAAACCCAACTTACCAGAGTCTAATACAGCAGAGGAGACCAGTACTCCATGGAGTTTTCAGTGAATACCAAGATTTCCGCCCCTCCCACCCCCTGGGAATTTCTGTGTGGGCTTTAACGTCCAAGGTTTTGGTTCACAGGCAATCTCATTAAACATATGAGCCAATGTAGAACTCTCAAAATATTTAGTCAAGTAATTAAGAACAACCTTGCATGTTAGGGCACAACCATGCTCCATGGAATTTTCAGTACCTGATTTTCCAGAAGGACGTCCATTTCTTCTGAGTCACCATTGGATGGACTTGAGGCATCACACTATCAGTTAACATAGCTGAGCACAAGAACTGTTTGTAACACTCTGTTCTCCAAAATGTCAGAGAGAGACTAAAGATAGAACGCGGGCTTGGCCAAGAGAAAATTCAGAGAGAAAGTAAGGCAAAGTGAACAAAGTTAAAGCGATCATGAAAGATAAGGTTGAGAAGAATGGGGGCGGGGGGAAGGAAGAGAGAGAGAGAGAGAACGAACACAGGGAAACAAAAGGGCAGACTGTTAAGTTAGTGGACTTAAGGAAGAAATCAGAGAGAATGAGAGACAGCTTAACACAGCTTTATTAAAGGTGGGGGTACAAGGGAGTTTCTCCAGGAGTTCCCCATTCTGCATCTCCAGAATGGGGAGGTCACACTGTGAACTTATTGGGGAGGGTTTTTATAACAGAGTCTTTAAGGAGGAACATTACACTTTGATTTACTATCCACCTACTAGCTCAGCCAGGCAGGCAAGGCTGTTTGCTCTTCTTATTAGCGGCAGACAAGGCTGTCAGCATGTGAATTCTGAATTCTTCATTCTTTCCTTTGGTCCCCTTCGTTCAGACTTAACACAGACTTTCAGCATCTCTCCTTTTCTGAGTGTTCTTTTGCTTTGAATCTTCTCCTACGCAGCTGGCAAAGTTCCTCCCTCACCTGAAGAATCCTAAAGATGCATAAAAATAAGAAAGTCCCTCTGTTTGCTATTTTTCTTTCTTCCTCTTTCCATTGTGGTTGCTTTTAAAAATACCTCCTGCCCAGATTATAGTTTAATGTTATTCATTTAAAACAAAACGTATCTTTATTGACTAACTTAGCACTGCATCCATTGTGAATTTTAAAAAAGAAATGTGTTTAGCACTTTCTTGTGTATGAGGATAGGAGATAAGGTGATTGATATTGGTGATGGGAGCACACAATTGAGGCAGTTAGTTTTAGTAATTGAACTGTGTGACAAACATCGAACTGGAAAATGTAGTATTTTTTCACAACACTTTAAAAAATTTAACCTACATAGTATGCAATGCTACCGAGCTTAACCTGGAGTGTATAAGGCTTACAGACGAGACTGTCACAAATATAGGTTCTCAGGACCTCATACAGGAAGCTTTGTTCCAGCAAATCTGGTGTGGGGTCCCTTGGCTGGATTCCTACCTGATACAACCCCAACAGGTGATTTCATTGTGTTCCTCCCACTGAGAACATACAGGGGGAGAGATGTTTGGAAGAAGATCCACCAAACAGCTAAGAATGAGTATCTCTAAAAGGAGACACTCAGGATGAGTTTTGCAACTTATTTATTTGTTTTTACTTTTGGGACACTGTCAGGTGATTAAATTAATTAGCAAGCAAAACAGTAGAAATATGTATCAAAATAGGATTCCAAGTTGTCAATAGGCTCATTTTGTGCATGATGTAAAAAGAGTAGAGAGGTGGGACCAGGCAGGGAGAAATATGAGAAAAACAGTTAAACAGGCAGAGACACAGAATGTATTCTAGGGAGAGACAGAATCAAGACTCAAAGAAAAAGAGATGAAAAGGCAGGCAAGGGAGGTGAACAAAAAGACAGAAGGATGAGGTAGGAAAATGAAAAGAAGGGGGGGAACCTCTATGTGAGGATAATAGATTAATGGAGACAAAGAACAGGAGAGTGAGGGACTCATATCAATGGATTTCATCAGCCACTCATTCAATAGGTAATGTTGGAAGGGAGAGAGAGAATAGAGCTATTGGAACAGCTGTAGAAAGACAAAGAGATAGATCTCTGATGCAAAGAGATGATGTCAAAAGAGAAAGACTTTATGATATGGAGATCGATCTTCCTTTTCTCTTTGTGTAGAGAAAGATGATGAGTGAGTTCTTCTGGAGGTACTAAGACCCAGGAGAACCCTCCCTCTCCCCTTAACCTGTAACTTTGCCCTGTGTGGACCTCACATAACAGCCACTTCTTTCTCTTAGGTGTTCGAGCTCTTCTCAGGCTTCCTGAAGTACTTTCCAGGTGTTCACCGGCAAGTCCACAACAAGCTGGAGGAAGTCAACGTCTTCATTGATAAAAATGTGGAGAAGCATCGCCAAACCCTGGATCCCAGTTCCCCAAGGGACTTCATTGATACCTACCTGCTCCGCATGGACAAAGTGGGGTCCCGAAAGGGAAGGGGAGGAGTGGAAGGTGGGGGACGAGAAGGAAGGGGAAAGGAAAAGAGAGAGAATGGTGAGAAGGGGCCTAGAAAATAAGTTTTGGAGGAAAGGAAGGAGAGGCTATGTGGGAGGGAAAGGAGATGGGAATGAAAGGAAGAAGAGAGGAAGAGAAACTGAGATGGAAAAGAGAGAGAGGGAGAGAGAGATTGGGAGAAAAAGACCAATTTTCAAAAAAAGTGGGAAGGTAGAAATGAAGTAAGACAGAGAGAGGCACTAATGCCTGTGACGTGTGCTTCCCACGCAGGAAAAGTCCAACACGAACACCGAGTTCCACCACAAGAACCTCATCATGACCACACTGTCTCTCTTCTTTGCTGGCACTGAGACCACTAGCACCACTCTCCGTTATGGATTCCTGCTTCTGCTCAAATACCCTCAGATCGCAGGTGGGTGGAACGGGACAAACTATCTGAGGGGGATCTTCAGACCTTTCTTGAGGCAGCACAAATGGAATCATGAAAGAATAAGAGGCAGTGCTGCCTTCTAACCTCAGGGGCCCCAGGTAAACCCCAGGTAATAATCTGGTCTGTTCTCTCCCTGATCTAATCTTCAGCCACTCAGGGGTTGAGCCACTAACCCAGCTATGAAATCTCTGTCATTACTTAATTCACCCTTCTGTCATTCTTCCAGTTCATCCTTCGCCCATCTAGTCTTTATTTCACCCACCCACTTAATAAACCACTGTCTATCTGGTCATGCAATCTCTAATTTGGTTAATCTATTCCTCAACCCACACATGCAAATTTTTCTTTTATATAAACATTTCCCCAATAAATTATTAATTGATTGTCCTCCATTAGTGCAGCAATCCATCTATTTATTGGATTCATTAATTTATTAGGCTCATTATTTTATTTGCCTATGGGTCATTTTTTTTTAATAATGATGTTTTAATAAAGGGCTTTAAATGCACATTAAAGGGTGTTTTCCAAGAATATAAGTGAAGATTTTTTTTTTAAACCCACAAGCTGGTTGGCCAAAGGGGTTATCTAAAGCTACGGAAGAGCACATCTGGTAGAAACACATGGCAATGGCCGCTGAGGAGATGTGCATGGGTGTCCCTTGCAGCATCCGGCAGTGGTGGCGCCGTGTGGGCAGAGTCACGGGTTCTCTGACGTCTGCTCCACCAGGGCCTCCGTGGTGCTGGCGCTCGCGTTTGCAGTGGAGTTCAAGACTTTGCCAAAATCGCCGCCAGCAGGCTTGGTTCCCCCTACTTTAGACTTTAAGTTCTCAACCTTTTCTTCAAATTATTTGAAAGTTGGGGAATTTTTTACATCTTCCAGCTTTTTAGTGATGACGGATCCGACAGATGAAAAAGCAGCCGAAGCCTTCTGTCCAGCCTGAAGACAAGGTTTCAGATGTCTTCTTGCACGCAGATGTTGCCGTCACATCTTGCCACCCTTTGGCAATGTTCTGCTTTATCTCCTGTAGTGAACTGATGCCAAGTTTCCGCTTGATCTCTGCTAGATGTTTCTCTTTTGCTGCTAGTACTTGAGACAGAGTCTGGATCTCCTCTTCCACCTTTGCAAGTTCTCGTCTTAGCTCCTCTTGCTCCTCCTCTGACAGAGCCTCTGTGGCACTGATGGTGGCGGCAGCATCTTCTGCTTCCTCTGGTACGGGGTCTTGCTTGCCGCGGTCCATGTCCCCGGCCGGCCGCCGCCTCGCGTCCTCTGCGCCTCTGCCGCGTGCAGCCTGTCCCATATGGGTCATTTATTAAGCAAAGATTAAATAATTCACCCATTCATTGAAACATGAATACAATCTAATTGTTATGTTCCCCAATTAACCATTCCAATCATTAATTAATTAATTGATGATCACTCATCAGCCACATTTAGCAGTTCATGAATTAATTTATTGATCTATTGCACTTTATATTGCTAAGAACCTAACAGTGTCTCACATCTAAAGCACTTAGTACAAATAGTTGGTTTTTCAGTACTAATCTTAGAGGGAGAATTTTGATAAAACCTCTTCTACAGATAACTTAGTATCTATGAGGATATTTATCCACAAGGGGGAAATGACAATTAAGGCTTGCTTTGAAGACACTGTGTGCATATATATATTTGTTTCTGTGGGAGAATATAACATTTAAATAGTGTAAGATTTCATGTCGCCTCCTTCCTCTATTCCCTCTCCAGACAGTTTTCCTGAGGAGTGTCAGAGATAGCCTCTTTTACTGTAGATTTTTTCAAGGCCTATTCATTCAGACATTGTTGTTGTTTGTTGTTATGTGCCGTCGAGTCATTTGCTACTCATAGCGACCCTATGTACAACAGCCCTAAACCCTGCTCTATCCTTTGCCAATCACACTGCCTCTGACACAACCATCCCGATTATCCCAGTCACTGACTCAATCCATCTCATAGAGGGTCTTCCCCTCTTGTGCCATCCCTCCACCCTCCCAAGCATGATGTCCCTCTCCAAGGACCTGTCCCTCCTTGTAACATGCCAAAAGTATGTCAGACAAAGCCCCAGAATCCTTGCCTCCAAGGAGTTGCTTGGTTTAATCCTCTCCAGGATGAATCTGTTTGTTTTCTTGGCAGTCCATGGTACATTCAGTACTCTTCTCCAGCACCACAGCTCAAAGGCATCAATTCTCCTTCTGTCTTCCCTAGTCATTCGGATAGATTGTGGAAATTATTGAACAACATCACTAGTATCTCATGCAAGAGTCTGCTAAAGATTATACAAAAATGACTGTAGCAACACGTCAACAGAGAAGTACCAGATGTCCAGGCTGGGTTTGAAAGGAGCTGTGGTACTAAGGATATTACAGCTAGTATCAAATGGATCTTGACAGAAAGCAGAGAGTACCCGAGGAATGTCTATCTGTGCTTCATTGACTATGCAAAGGCTTTTGATTGTGTGGATCAAAACAAACTGTGGCTGACTCTGAGAAGAATGGGAAAATCCCAGAACATTTGATTGTGCTTATGCGAAACCTATACTTGAACCAAGAGGCAGTGGTCAGAACAGAGAAAGAAGACACTGCATAGTCAAAATTGGGAAGGGTGTCCTCCAGGGATTCTATCTCCATACCTTTTCAATCTGTATGCAGAACAGATCATCTGGGACGATGGGCTGTATGAGGAGGAGTGTGGCATTGAGATTAGAGGAAGATTCATCAACAACCTGCATTATGCAGATAACGCAACCCTGTTCGCTGAAACTGAGGAGGATCTGAAGTGCTTGCTGCAGAAGGTCAAGAACTACAGCTTTCAGTATGGATTGAAACTCAACTTCAAGAAAACAAAGATTCTCACCACTGGGTGAATTGGCAGCAATATTATGGATGGTGAAGAGATTGAGATAGTTAACAGTTTTAGTTTGCTTGGCTCCACAATCAACACTCTTGGTACCAGCAGCCAGGAAATCAAGAAACAAATTGCATTGCAAAAGTCAGCTGTCAGGGACCTCTCCAGAGTACTGAAGAGCAACGATGTCAGGCTGGAGACTAAGGTGCACCTGATCCAGGCCATTGTCTTCACAATGGTGTGCTATGAGTCAGAGAGCTGAACAGTGACTAGGGATGATAGAAAGAAAATCAATGCTTTTGAGCTGTGGTGTTGGAGAAGAGTGTTGAATATACCATGGACTGCCAGGAGAACAAACAGGTTTGTCCTGGAGAGGGTGAAAATGGGCTGCTCCTTGGAGTCAAGGATTATGAAGCTTTGTCTGGCATATTTTGGGCATGTTGCAAGGAGGGACTGGTCCTTGGAGAGGGACATCATATTTGTGAGAGTGGAGGGACAGCACAAGAGAGGAAGACATTCAATGAGATGGATTGATTCAGTGATTGGGGTCAATGGGAGTAGGTGTGTCAGAGACAGTGAGATTGACATAAGATAGAGCAGGGTTTAGGGCTCTCATACATAGGGTCACGATGAATCGCAAGTGACATGACAGCACATAACAACAACAAATATTCATTCATAGAAAGCAGTGTCCCCACTGAAATGCCTCTTTGAAATGTCTGCTTCGGTGAAGTGAATAAGAGATTCATTGGTTGCCCCCCACCCTTCATCCTTTCTTTTTTCCCTTTTATACTTGTTTACTTGTATACTTTGTTTTTCACACCACATCTTTCCCCTTTCCTTTATTCCCCCATCCATCAAATTGTGTGACCCTACAATTAAGCACCACCTCCTCCTGCCCATCCTCACTCTTCTGCTCCCTTCTCCCCCTCCTTGGATCCTCATACTCATTTTACAATAATGGTCTTATATTTGTCTTCGTGAGGCTAAGTTCACTTAGCATAATACTGCATTGGTCCATTGTCGTGTGCAGAGAGAGTCCAAAAGGAGATTGATCAGGTGATTGGACCACATCGCCCTCCAGCTCTTGATGACCGAGCCAAAATGCCATACACTGATGCAGTCATCCATGAGATCCAGAGATATGGAGACCTCATCCCCCTTGGAGTGCCCCACGTGGTCACCAAAGACACTCACTTCCGAGGGTACATCCTTCCCAAGGTGAGGCCTGCTGAGATGCTGCATTTCTTCAATGTGGACTCTCTTTATTCCCAAACTTGATCTCCTTTATGACTAGGGTTCCTTTCTTAATTATTTTTCTTTGGTGGAAGAAGGGAGGTGGTGAACTATTTTTCTGTTTTTTGTACCCTTCCTCAGGGCACTGAAATATACCCCATCTTGAGCTCTGCCCTTCATGACCCACGTTACTTTGAAAAGCCAGATGAGTTCCACCCTGATCACTTTCTGGATGCCAAAGGGGGACTGAAGAAGAATGAAGCTTTTATGCCCTTTTCTGTAGGTAAGCTGGACCCATGCTGCTTCCCCATACACCAAAATGTAGGTTTCATGCCTTTGAACAATGATAGTCCTGATGCCAGTTGTTTTATGAGTGTTCTCTCATTTCATTTTCACTGCAGCTTTAGAGGGAGCTTGAGTTATGGGATTGTGTCATACAGACAAGTTTCGTTAAGGAGGACATCAAGAAGTATGGCAGCCTACTTGAATGTATAATAATGATTATGACTGACTAGGCTGTTAACCGAAAGGATGGTGAATCAAGTCCACCCAAAGACACCTTAGAAGAAAGGTCTGAAAATTTGCTCCTCAAAAACTCTCGCACTGAAAACCCTGTTTTAATCTGACTCATGGCTTCATTCTGACTCACATTCATTGAAATTGATTGAATGGCAACTTTTTGTTTGCTTATATTTGAAACTCAGCGCATTGTTTTGCTTTAAAAAGATAACATTATTCCAAACCCAATGCTCTATTTGTTGTTGTTATTATGTGCCATCAAGTCGCTTGCGACTCTCTTCTATCCTGTACCAACCTAGCCATCTCAAACGCACTTATTCCCACCGCTCCAGTCACAGAATCAATCAATCCATCTCATCGAAGGTCTTCTGTCCTTCACCGCCTCTCCACTCTGCCAAACATGATGTCCCTCTCCAAGGACCAGTCCCTCCTTGCAACATGCCCAAAGTATGTCAGACGAAGCTTCAGAATCCTTGACTCCAAAGAGCCTTCCAGCTTCACCCTCTCGAGGACAAACCTGTTTGTTCTCCTAGCAGTCCATGATATATTCAACACTCTTCTCCAGCACCACAGCTCAAAAGCATCAGTTCTCTTTCTATCAACAATAGATCACATATAGAGACACAACCCTCATTACAGGAAATTCAATGTCCATCTGAGAACTTTAGGAACTAAAAGCAGAAATTGCTTCTTAATCTTGGGATCCCATAAGAATAATCTTATTTAAGGAATTGACTTCTAAACCAACACCTCATGGGTGACTATTAGTCAATCACTGAAAGAATTTCCAGGCAAAGAGCATAGGGCCTTATCTGTCATGTCATTGTAAATGAAGGCTGGACAACATATGGGACAGTGGGATGAGGAGCAAGGTCTCCATCTGCAATTTAGAGAAAGAGATGTGAAGAAATAAAGAGAAAGACAGTTTTGGGGTAGAGCAAGAAGGAAAATGAGGAGCAAATAAAAAACACAGTTAGAGAGATAGACAAAGGCAAGGTGAGTGGCAGAAAGACATGAAGATAGAGACATTGACTATGAGACATCAGAATAGAGACATTGAATATGAGACATGAGGATGGAGATAATGACTATGAGACAAAACACCTAGAGGAGCATAAAAAGGATGGAGAGAGAGAGGAAGAGGGAGAAGGGAAAGGTGAAAGGAGTAGAAGAAAGCATAAATGGAATAAGAGATGGGGTGGAGGGGTGAGAAAGCAACATAGTAGAAAGAGAAACAGATTGAACAAAAGAAAAGGTTCTTTCAGAGTGAGGTATGACTGAGTGAGTAAGAGAATGAATCGGAAGCAAGGGACGACACAAGATAGAGAAAGAATCAGAACTAGAGATGAGCAATAGAAATTGTGCCTAATAGCACCGACTTGTCGGAAAAGACAGTGAGAGTCAGACTTCCAGGAAGTGAAAGAACCTGAGAGGCAGGACAGTTTCAGGAATGGGAAAGGTGCTGTGAGAGGAAGGCAGCAGGCAGTGATCTGGGAAGAACTGGGTCGCAGAACCTGTTATAGAAGAACCAGCCCAAGACTTTTCCCGAGTCATCTTCCTGGGCTCTTCAGTCTTCTAAGGATCCAACAAAATGACGTGGTCCTTCCTCGATATCATGCAGGCACAAGGTACTATGTGAAAGGCCTCGGAACTGTCTGAAATCCCCTCCTTGATGTTGTTATTGTTGTTATGTATTGTTGCTTCCACTGCGACTCCTAGTGACCTTAGATAGCAGCTTTCTAAAGTGGTCAGGTTGCATGCTGAGAGAGAAGCACTGTCTGCCTCTTCTATGACTCCTTTAGTTCTCATTTCTCTCCAAGTCCATGACCTGTTGTTGTTGTTGTTTTGTGTGCCATAAAGTTGGAACCAACCCTCCAGAGGGTTTTCGGAGGAGTAATCACCTAGGTGGAGATTGCTTATTTTCCTCCCATGAAGCGGCTTGCAGATTTGAACCATTTGACTTCAGGATTGGGTGCAGATTCTTACCACTAGGCCACCACAGCTTCCTTTATGATCTATTATTATTAGGGGGTTTCTTATCCCTCCCTCAGTCCAAGGGAAGTCATGGTTGATTTCTTCATCCCTATCGACCCCCAAATTTCAGTTTGTTTGTTTTTTTAAAAAAATCTTAAAACCCATGAAATGAAGGAGATAAAGGTAGACGTACAGGCAATGCTAGACAAAAGCAAGACACACTATGAATGTTACCCCACACCTACCCATACACACACATAAACCCAAAGCTACCTCTGTAGTATCAATATGTGCTAGATATTTTAAGAAATTTTACAAGTATTCGCTCCTTTAATCTGATAAGACAGACTGATGAGGTAGGTACTATTATTTTCAGATTAGAGATGAAGATCATGAAAGATAACAAGTCAGAAGCACACACACACATCTACATATGTGGAGGTCTCTCTCTCTCTCTCTCTCTCTCACACACACACACACACAGGTGGGTTCTGACACTTTCTGAGACCACTCACCTCTTTAGAAGAATATTAAAAGCTATCTTTTTAAAGCTAACTCTCTCCTTGAAAAATGTTATATACCCACTCAAGGATTTACTTCAACTTCAAAGGGTTCAGAAATCCTCAAAGTCCATCTTGAATAAGTTAAAGATCAAGCCTCTCTCTCTCTCTCTCCATATATATATATATATATATACATAAATATAAATACATATAAATATAGAAATAGAAAAATATAGAAATATAAGTATAAATATAAATATATCTGAAAATAGGTACAGATATCTGGACTTTGGGATGTGATAAGACAAAAGTTTTCCCAAAAATGTGATCCACTCAGTCCTTCCATTAGTGATCTCTTCCTCCTCTGTACCCACAGGGAAGCGCATTTGTCTTGGTGAAGGCATTGCCCGGACTGAGTTGTTTCTCTTCTTCACCACGATCCTCCAGAACTTCTCTGTGGCCAACCCTGTGGCCCCCAAGGACATCGACCTCACACCTCGGGAGAGTGGTGTGGGCAAACTGCCACCCATATACAAGATCAGCTTCCTGTCCCGCTGAGGGGGCAGGGATTCCACGAGCCCCCGACTCTACAGAGAATAGTCCCTGACTCCCTCCAACTCTTCTGCCACTGAGCGACCTGCTACAAGCTAGTATCCTTCTCTCTTCATGGTGGATACTTCTATTGGAATTTTTTCCCCTCTCTTCAGTCTCACCTCCTTCCATATCCTTTGTTTTTTTCTAAAGATTACCAAAGTTTCCCCCTTTCCTTCTGGAATAGAGTTCCAAAAGTTGGAATCAATCCCATAGACAGCCCATCCCCTTTCTTGGTGTAGACGAAGGAACCAACGGCTTAGAGGGGAAACTTGTTTGATGCTATCTCTCTCGCTGTTCCTCCTGGTCACTGTTTGTGCTGAGTGGCTTCCCACTTTATCAACTTGTGTGCCATGAGGTGTGCTAAAGTGCTCTGCAGGCAAGAATTCACTCCAGTTCTTCTCACAGTAACCCTATGGGGTAGGTGCAATGATTCTGCCCATTTTATAGAGGAGTATACAGAGGCCAAAAAATGGCATTATCATGTCCATTTAATAGAAGAATAGACAGAGGCCAAGGAATGACATCAGTTGACTAAGAGCATATCACTAGTGAACACAGGAGCAAGGTTCATAGGCTGCTTGACTAGTCCAAGAGCCAGAGTCTTTATCTAGCTTCTTAACTGGTGTCCCCACAAAGCCTCATTCTTGTTGCTCCTTCCAACTTGCCCCCCCACCCATAAAAGCCCCCCCCCAGCCTATGCTCCACCTGCATCGTATGCTTCTCATGCCCTGGCCTTCTGACACACACTTCAAATTCCCTGAGAATAAAAAGAAACATGAATGCCTGACATATCAGGCCAAGTTATGATTTGTGCCATTTTGTATGTGACTCCTTTATTGACATGTCCCCAGTGCTCAAGAGCCCTTGTCTCTAATTCACTGTCTCATTCACCCCTGTACTTGCAACAACTAAAGCAGTACATAACCTGTGAGTAAAATACCTGCTGAAGAATGATTGGATGGCTAAATCAGTTCCCTATAAACTCAAAACAGAACTAGATCTCTTGTCAGACCATGGCTCCTTCTTTCACTTTCTCAATTCCTCCTCAATACTCCAAGGATCTCATTCTCTTCTGATGCCTCCAAATAATGCTATTTTGCAATAGGAACAGGGTGTCTCCAGTTCTGCTGCCAGCTAGACTTGATCCTCTGTGCTGCCACACAGCGCTCCGAGAAAACCGAGAGCCACCTGTGCGGAGAAACACCCTTGAGCCCAGCCTCCACACATTCCATCTGTTGGCATCACCATCTTTTCCTGAGCAAAGCACTCGCCTGTCTAGGCACTGCCAGCTGAGACACTACCCATGGGGCTTTGAACGCCAATGCAGAGATGCTGAACATCTTGGTTTCCACAGCATCTTCCACGCTTGGGCTCCTGTAGTCCAGGAGCCCTGCCAAGGTATATATCTGGCATGACTTCTCTTCTAAACCATAGAAGCAAAACAATGAAAGGAGCACCCCTCTTTTAGAGGACAGCAGGATGGAAGGCAAGTCCATCAAGGAAAAGGTGGTCTGAGACTTTTCACTTCTCTTAATCTTCCCTGGCCTCTTGCTGCTCTGCATTGGGGAAGCCTTCCCTTCAAGGGTAACCCCCCCACCTGGCCCTAACTTCACACATCCTGGGGAGCATTCTGCAAATGACCACAAGGAGTTTATCAAGTCCTTCTAGGTGTGAGATGAGAGAGGGGGAAAAGAATGAATGAACAGGAAACTGAACACACAGGTAGTAAGGAATTGGGAGTTTAATTTTGGGTGAGACATCTTCCAGGCACAACCTGGTCCAATATGTCCACTAGTGTAGCTCCTGGAATTCCTAGGAAACAAAGGAGATGGGTAACAGAACTTCTGGTAGACCTGAGACTTTGAGATAAAATGATGAGTGGAGGAAGAGATAGCTGGAGGTTGGTTGTGGGAACTCTCTGTAATTCTTAAAATCCAAAGCTTGGAAAGTTCTTGGGGAAACTGAATGATGAGTATCCTATAGGCAGGAGTCTGAGTGGGAGGCTTGGCAGAGCCAACCAAGTGGAAGCCTTCATTTTTCCACGAGACAGCTAATGAGAAAGGTGTGGCCTAGGAATGAGAAGCAGAAGGCCAGATCTTCTCTTGAGAGACAGAGCTACACTCTTTGAATGCAGGAAAAATATGTGAATGTGTCTAATTTCTACACGGAGCTCCAGTCCACCATCATCTTGCATATGTTCAAGGCAATTTGAAGGCCTTGCTGGACAAGCTGAGGCTTTTGCAAACTCATAATCATCCTTGGCCCTATCTTCAGGGAACAGATGAGTTGAGGTCAGACAGGGGCTGGAGAGAAGGCAAGAGGGAAGACATTCTACCCTTCCAGTTTTCCCTCTAGGAATCCCCCGATAGGTTGTGGCCCTTGCTAAGGGAAGCCCTTGTAAAGTCCTTCAACATTTCTCTGGCCACCATGAAGGGCTTTGAGATTGGGAAGCAGAGAACTGAAGAACAAATATGGCAAAAGGCACAATGTCTGGTGAAAGAGCTTTGTAAAACCCAGGGTGAGCCTCAGAAAGTGGGGCTGGGAGAGGCAGGTGGGTGTCAGCAAGGTGGGGATAGAGAGGAGTGACAACATGATTCATAGACACAAGGACAGAGACAAGTGCAGAGACAGATTTGGGGAGAAAGAAGAGAGTGAGAAAGAGACCAAAAAAATAGAACGAGAATGAAGGAGACAGGGAGATAAATGAAGACTATGAGGGAAGAAGGGAGAGACAGAGGGTCAGGAAAGAACTGAGGACATGTATGAAGAAAAATCTGGAAACAGAAATTTTGAAGGAGGAGATTGTGTAATAAAAAGGATAAAAGAACAGAGACCACAAGGTACATACAATGTCAGAGGAGGTGACATGAGCAGACAAGAACTGAGAAGGGATTGGGTCTCAAAGAAAGAGTCAGAGACATGGCCAGAAAGACAAGAGCACAGATGTGTGTGTGTGTGTGTGTGTGTGTGTGTGTGTGTGTGTGTGTGTGTGCAAACACCCCGTAGCACAGCAAACCACACTACGCCACACCACACCAAGACAGAGGCTGTGCCAAATGGCCAAAAACACAGATGAAGGAGATAGAGAGAAAACCTGGATACAGAGAAACCAATAAAATAAGCTAAGGTAACACCCACTAGATCAGACTCCCAGAAGTCCAGGGAAAACTACACCCAGCCCCTCATGACAGTCTTCTCATCCCGAAATCCTACATGAACCCAATCCACCTTCCTCTTTCACTCCATCACAGCCAATATCGTCTTCTCTGTCACCTTTGGCAAATGCTTTCATAACCAATACTCCAAATTCTTACAGAATTACATTTACTGAATAATGCCTCCACTCTCCTCAGTTCAGTTCTTCCTCTCTATAAACAAGTAAGTCTGAAAACAGGTGAGTGGTCCCTGGAAAGGGGCCAGCTTCTTCCTGTTCTGAGTATGGGATCTAGAGGACATCCAACATTCTTTTTTTTTTCTCCTGAAGGAAAAGAGTTAATTTTTATCTTTTCCTTGCTAAGGGGGAAAAATGACACCCAAAAGGTTGCTGTGTCATGTCTTTGAGGGTATTAGAAAATGGAGCCTCTTCTTCAAGCAAGGAAAACACAATGTTCAAACTTATTTACTGTTACATAACCCAAACAGCTCTGCCCATTCCTGGTTACTTGCATGCACATGTGTTCATTCTTCTGTGCAAACACACACCCACATAACCTACCTCTCTCCTTCATGAGACGGTGATTATAGTTGTAAACACAACTGTTAAAAAACCACATAACCATAAACACCTTCTCAAGAAGGAAAGAGGATGTGTGTCTGTGTGTTTCCCTTTCCACACTCCCTTTAAAGTCACATGACATACACAGAAAATATATTGATATACCCAAGAATTTGTTCTTATAATATCTATTATTTTGTGATTTGTACTTCTTTTTTTTTAATTTAGGTTGTTTATTTTTCATTTCAATGAACATCTACAGAGATTTTGGGATTCCATTCATTCAT